ATTTTTTCTTGTGAGACTTTTTGAAAAGCAAAGTGTGTGCCAACAAACCGAAGGCTTTGGACGAGCTGAAGGACAACATTCGAGCTAAAACCGCTGCGATATCGTCCGATATGTTAGCAAATGTCATGGAAAATGCCGAAAAAAGAGCGAAGTTTTGTTTGCGCTATGAAGGAGTTCATTTAACCGACGTTGTTTTTCGAATATAAATAAAATAATAAGAAATTTTTATTAAAACTCATTGAAAATTGTTCAAGTTATTTAACACTTCCATTGACCACTTATAGATGGCGCACCCTGTACATATACATATAGTACGTGCCTTAATATATTTTATTTCCTACTATTTTGTATATGTACTTTATACATTTTTTACACAATTTTGTCACAAATGCCATTCTGTTGCGTTACACACAATCACCACACATACATACATAAAAATCAAAGGATCAGCAACAAAATTAATGGCAAAACTCTATGAAGGCAGTGAAGAATTTTTCTGGCTGCGCAGCTTGGTTGGATGACGGGCCGCACCCTTCATTGACACTTGTACGCACATAATGCTAAAAAATAAAAGAAAATAAACATTTTCTTAATGGAATGAAGGGAGCCAAGGCGAGACACAGAAATACTGCTGTGTGTCATAAAACTTTGCAAAGAAATTGTTATGCAGTTGTGTAGGTGTTATTGTTGGTTCTGCTGCTGCTGCAGCTACTGCGTTCTTTGTTCTTTTGTAAGCCCTTGATGACATGCTTATTCAACAAATCCATTCGAACAGACTAGTCTATAGTGCGCTTTTTCTAGAGCTTGTGCCCAATATTTGTTTGCTTTTGAAAAAAAAAAAATTATTATAAAAACGTGAGAAATTTAAATAATATAGAATTAATTAAAAATAAAAAAATTAGAATAAGGAAAACAAAAAACGTTGAAAAATGGAAAAATAAAGACTAAAACAAAAAACTTGCATATTTGAATATAATAATTAATAATTAAAAATAAAAAAAAATTAAAAATTAAAAAGAAAAATATTTAGAAATAAAAAAAGATATATATACAAATAGAAAGATATGCATAGAAATATATTTATAAAAATAATGTATAATATAGAAATAAAAAATAAAATAAAAAGAAGTAAATACAAATGAAATATAAGTGAATAAAAAATAAAATAGAAGGAAATAGAAATAAATAAAAATAATAAAAAATAATAAAAAATAATAAAAAAAAATAAAAAAAAATAAAATAAAATAAAATAAAATAAAATAAAATAAAATAAAATAAAATAAAATAAAATAAAATAAAATAAAATAAANGGACATTTTCGAGTGTAAATAATACGAAAACAAGAACAACTGTCACTGAAACGGCGATGACAATTCGTTAGGCACTGTCCACGCTCACCTTAAAGGCATTATAATCAATGTATTTCAACCAGCCTCAGCCGGTACAGCACCCTATCGGAAAACGGAGGAAGCATAAAAAGCCAGATGACATGTAATAAATTAATTGAAATTATTTTAAATTAAGTAAAATAAGCTTAAGATAATAAAAATAGTACTGCTCGTGAAACCCAATTATTATTTTTTATTACATTCCCTTTCCTTATATTTATATACGAGATTAGTTATAACTTCGCTCTTTGTTTCACTAACTTTCAGTATCACACTAATTGAGATAATAACAATTTTAATTCATTCCTTGTGAGAGAGACGGGATGTTGTTAACGGTTGTTAGACTTAACTTTCCTCAATACCAAAATAACCAAAGGCAGTAAAAAAATAGCAATTACTAGGTGAGTCTAAAAAAAATTTCCCTTTCCGATCGATGACCCTATACATACCGACCTCGTAAAATCTTACAAATTAGCGAAACATTCATTTCGCTCGTACTATTTACTTTCACTACGAGTCAGCGATTAAAATTTTTTTTTTAATTAAATCGGTTAAGCGGCTCTAATTTATGTTCTACTCTTCGCATTACACAATTTTACATTAAATTGTTAAAAAATTATGTTTTGCTATAACGTCTTTGGAGGAAGCTATAATTAATAAGAAAAGTTGAAATTTGAAAATGTAAGATTAAAAAATACCAAGTACAAAAGAAATAAGTAGTAAAACCTAATATTTTCTTTTAACAAGTTTAAAGCGTAAGCACCTTATAAACGCTTGTTTGATTGACATTAAACTTATACATGTGTACATGCACATTTCTTTATTATATATACATATGTACATACTTAAAGACTGTGCTGAACACTTTATTCATTTTCTCCAATTTCGGAAAGTTATTTATTTTGCAATGTTTTAAAGTGGGCGCTTAATTTGTACTGTTATTGATTTCTTTTTTTTCTGCGAATACCGTTTGTTGTTTTTGCTGTTGATATTTGGCGCTAGAAAGCTCATGCTGAAGCCACACCAAAAGGTTTTTTGTCTACTTTGTTTTGTATTTTGATTTCCGATATTTATTTTCGCACTCTGTTTTTTAAATATTTTATTAACCGTATTTTTCTTTTCTATCTTTTTTAGGTAAACTTTGTGAAGCTGGTCAATTGAATCTGTCTGATTCAAAAATGCTTATTTTTTGTGAGTCATTTCCATATGAGTACTTCTATTTGAACGTATTTTTTGTTGCCTTTTATTTATTTAACACACTTATAACTGTTCACACTTAACTTTCTTATAGCTTGTTATATACATATACTCGTACATATATACATATGTGCTGAAGCGCTTTTCGGCCGAGCTCATCCTCAAATTTTGCTGTGCCTCTTGATGTTTTTTCAACAAATGGAGGGACCCACAGTTTATACTAAGCCGCTTCCGAACGGCTGATGGTTTTTTATGAGGAGCCCTTATTTCATGTCAGAAATATACTGCCCAGGCACGATCGTAATGAGAAAAATGAATTTTCTATAATTTTGGATGATTGTCAGACTAGCATTCAGGATCTTACTTATAGCAGTATGCACTGCCATCCACCGTGCTATTTCGGCAGTCGGCTTATCATATACTTATTTAAAATATATGTATTTTTGATTTTTAATTCTCAAAATATTTCTAGATTTACTACTTTGGTACATGTACTTGAGAAATCAGATCTTAAATTGAGCTAACTGCAGTTAAAAAAAAAGTTGCCGTTAAATGCCATTTGCATAACCCGTAGCATAGGGAAGTGTAAGAATGATGTCCATCCTGAAAGCCGGAAAGGTCTCTCATCTTTCACAATAATCCCTAAAATTTTAATAAGATCTTAAATAGATTTAATTGGACTACCCTGCAAGCGTTAAAAGGAAATTGTTAGGTACCATTTATGTGCTCGTACAGAAATATGTAGATTAAAATGATAACAAATCAGTTGTCCAGAAGAACTCTAGTCTTTAATCCCACAAAGATCGAACTGGTATTACTCATAAGGAAACACGTCACTTTGTTTGATGGCATGAAAACTTACTTATTGTATGAAGTTCTTAGTACTAAGTAGGAAACTTTCTCCAAGGCAAGTACCGAGTACTTTCTACGTAATTCCTAAACCAAAATCGCTTCATCCGTTATGTGAATTCTGATCAAAATGGCCACTACGAACCATCACAAAAACTGTTTGCACCGTCAATCATTCAGTGCTCCCATCGATGGTCACCTCATCACCGCCAGAGTGGTCGACAGGTAGAGTTTCGAGGTTAAACATCCAAACTCCGTAAGATTAAACAAGGAGCTTCGCAAGCTGGTGTTCTCTTATTACTTCTGCTTAATTTCTACATTTGGAAACTCGTTCCTCTGTTAGAGAGTGTTTCATTGATCCATATGATAGCTATGGATGTCTGGCCAGAATATTGATAACTGATGTTTGTAAGTGAACTCCTATCTCGACGACTTTCCCTACTTCTTCACTGCAAGACTATTAAAATTACAACCAGCAAAATCGTCGGCTACTCTTTTCACCAGCTGGACGAAGGAGTACAGGCTCGAACTCGATGTGAAAGTCAATGGGTAAAAATTCTGGCAATAAACCACCCGAACTTAGTAGAAGTCACATTCGACAGCCTGCACTCCACCATTCCGCATACGTCTGCAATTGCCATAAAAGTACAAAGCCACAATAAAATCCTCTCAGCATTTGAAGGCAGCAAAGAAACATTGCTCACAATATACAAGGCAATCGGCCGACCACTCGTAAATACTGCTTTTCCGATTTGGGCGCCGTTAGCGAGACGCAGACGAGCTACAAGCTTATCAGAACACCGCTCCTAGAGTCGTGACAGGAAACATCCTAACTTCGTCGGAGCATCACTTGCTACGCGTTAAGGAGCTAATGGAATGCTCTGAAAGCAATTTCGGCTGGGATGCTACCGTACGGAAGAAACTAACAGACATTTTCCTGCCGAGCCACTACCACTCGCCTGCAAAGACTCCATTTACCATTCACCGAGCGTCCGTTAACATCTTCCTTCTCTCTCTCTCTCTCTCCAGGGAACGGCGTTCTCGGAGTCAAACCACCACCCATTGCAGCCGAGGAGCTAGAGGAATAATGACACTATTAGGATCTGAATGTTGTAATCGCTTAAATTCCTACTTATCCAGACTTTATCCCGACAAACCAATGTGCTGCATACAATGAGACCCCCCCACTACACTAGTAGCCACCTCTTTGCATGCCCCTTAAAATCGACTACTCTAATCCCCTTTTACTCTGTCCGAAGCCGTCGAAACAACTCGATTCCTGGATCTTCTATTTCATGACCTCGATGACGATGACTAATTTTGCCTGCCCCTGAGCGGAGTTGACAGTCGCCACAACAAAAATAACACATCCTCTCCACCAACCGATACTCAAGACCTCACATTTGCGTAAAATGGTTCTTATTTTATGATCAGGCATTAAATAACTTCATAAAACGGTAATGATCCAATGATATTCATTTACTTTCGATAAGTGGGGTAGAGCTTAACAAGGAACCGGAACATAGAAAACCAGGCCCCGAAATAAAAACTCAACTAGAATTACTGAAACAGATTTATTTTTCAATATTTTTTAGAACAAACCTAAAACAAACAAAACTAAACAGTATCTATTAACAATAGATAGTACTCAATACACCACACACTTGTCGTCTGGATTTATCTCTGAGCCCAGTGCACAGTTAAATTCCCGCGCGAATTCCACATTATTGGCGAGTACACCATTTATGTTGAACAATTCTTCCGTGTGCGTATCCAGAGGCAGAAATGTCGGTGGCGGCTCCTCCATGTATTTGGCGTAACATCGTGATTGCGCAAAAATGATGAAGAACAGTTGAGTATTCGTGAAGTCCACACCCGGAAGGGTTTCACGCATTAATGTTGGTCGACTAGTCGGATCCACCGATCCTAGCCAATCTAGATAGGACTTGAAGGCCACATTTAAACCAGCGCTGTCTGTCATGAGTTCGCGTAGTTTGGTAACATTGTAGAATGCATTTGGTATATTGTATAAATAATTGCTATACTGCATGCGATAGCATTCGGTAATATTTTCAAAATATTCCACAACCATTCCGTCACGTGTAAGCTCCGTCTCATCACCTTCGGGTATTACAGCACCGACCAGTTCACGCGCGATAAGTGGTCCGAGTAGCGCATACTTCAATGAGTTCGCGTACGTGTAGTCATAGAAAGGCGGTTGTAGCAAGCCCCAGCCAGTAAGGACGCCATTTTCTATCAGTTTCATATCAACATCCGGCGCTTCAATGATACTCTCCTCGAACTCAGGGTCACCGCCATAAAACCGTTGACGCTCCTTGTAGCCTTTATATTTCATGGCAATATCTTGTTTATGCCAGAAATTTACCTTTTCCAGCGGCAGGTCACGTAAATTAATATTGCCCTTGTATGTGGGGAAGAGTAGCGCTTCATATGCCAACAGCTTGTTTCGGAAAACATTTCGTGCATTCTCAGGCAAACCATCCACGTTCAAGGCCTCGCCTAATGTCTGCTTAATTGCGCCGAAAAGTTGTTCGGTATCACTTCTTATCTCGCTCCGTTGATATTTATTTCTATACATTTCACCGACGACTTTAGGGAAATACCGCATGGCTAGTTCAGCACAGTAGCCCGCCCTTGGGTTGCTGGTTTCGTTGCGTGGAAAATTGATTACGCTCAGCGCACGGTACATTATGTAATTGGTGAGTGTCGGTTTGGGATTTGAACGGGAAATATGCGCCAAGTGCTGATAGTAGCGCTCGGATTTCATAACGATCTCCGAGTTTGCTACTGTAGAATTCAGACTAGTTTCTAAATATTTTCTAAAATTGATGAAATTGCCATATTTTTTAGATAGAAGTGCCAAATTGCGACCCTCGTAGACAGTTACCTCTTCTTCAACTTTATTATCCTCAGCCGGTGGCAACGACTCTTCCTCTCTCATATAACGACACAACTCAAATTCGAAACGTATAATATCACCAGCAACACGTTCAGTTTCATCCTCTCTTAATGAAAACCACTGCTGTAAATCCTTTGAGATTTCACTCTGCAGTTCTACGGAGACCTTGTCACGCGCTTCTGCATCCACCATTGCACCGGCACTGCATAAATGTCGTGGTATTAGAGTCGTGCGCGGTTCCGTGAAATATATGACAGCTCTGCCCGGCAGGGACTGAGCGTTGTTCTCCACCTCCATGCCAATGAGGAAATCAAAACCATAATTAAGTCTCAAACGTGCTACCACTTGCACCCAATCGTAATTTATATTCCAATTAGTGCCCGCCAGTAAGGGCATACCATGATATTCTTTTATGAAATTCATGAGAAAAGGCTGTGCCGAAGAGCGTTCTACATTTAAACAAGACATATAGAATTCCTTAACTTTACGCTCACTCATGTTGGTTCTGCCTTTGATGCGTGTACCGGTGTCCAATAGTAATTGCACATCCTTACGTACGCGCTGTATTAGCTGCGTTCTCACGGATATCGGCGCACTGTCACGCTCCAATGTTTGCTGATACAACGGCCAGTTGCCACAGGCATACTCATAAAAATTGTTGCACGGATCAGCTGTGAGTTTCATATATTTGAGTACTTCTGCTGCTTTGGCATTGCGCATGATTTGTTCTTTTGCACCTCGTTCCGCAGCAATTCGCGCCACCACGCAACTAAGCACGAGTATGCAGATTAAAGCGTTCACTAAATGCAGTCTTCGCGTACAGACTTTTTGCATTTTGCCGTTATGAAGTTGGAATCGAAACTGAAATACAGGAGCAGAAAAATAATCTTGCTTCTGAAACTGCGTTTTCAGCGCTGCTTCTCTGTACTCTTCGTCTGTTCGTCACCTCGGTTTTGTGATAAGCAAATCGCTTAGAGGGTTGGCGGGGATCAAAGATCATCTTAATAATAAATGATGTTCTCTTGTTTACATTTTTGAAATGAAAATATAAACAAAAATTCTATAATCATAAAAAATACAAAAAAAAAAAACCTTTCACTTCACAACAGAAATAGGAAAAATACGTGGACAGTCCTTTGGATTACGTGCCTAAAAATGTTCGTCAAGATCTTTTATTGACGACCGAACACACCACGAACCACTAGTTTGAAAAGGGTTAAGTTACTTTTATATATTGGTATAGTAAAAAGTATTCCATTATTTTTGCATTATGTAAATTAAACATCCTCCTCGACAACTGTTTGCCATTTGGAAGGCAGTGTCGTTATGTCTCTGTTATAGAAACCCTTAATCCCTTCTCCCTATTCGCAAAAAGTTGAAACAATCGATTTTCACAGGCCTCTTTTGAGTTCACTACCTCAGAAGCCAAATCATTTGCCGTAGACATGAATAGATGAAGAGCACTTGATGCGAGGTCTCGACTATAAGGTGGATGCTAAGGAAAGCCAAGCTCCCGGAGCTTTCTGTTGGCCAATGCTGGGCGCCTCTGCACGATTGCTTCCTTCAGATGGTCCAACTGCTGACAGTACAGGTCCGTATTAAAAGTTGGACATTATGGGAGCAGCTTATAGTTAATGGTTCCCATCATTAATACCACTAAATACACAACGAAACCAATCCCGTCTTGGAGGCCGTTTATGGCGGCTCATTGCCCTTCGACTACGACCGTTTCCATTTGCCGATGCTGCAAGTGATCCGCTTATCGTCACCAGTCACCATTCGCTTCAGATATGGCTAAATTTTGTTACGGTTCAGCAGCTATTCGCAGATGGAAATTTAGTCCATGAGGTTTTTTCTTGTTAACTCATGTGACACCCATACATCGAACTTCTTTGTGCATCCAGCTTCTTGCAAGTCGTTCCGAACTGATTTTCGAGCAATGTTTAGGTCCTTGACAATCGAAACAGCGCTTGTATGATAGCTAGACTCGACAATTTTCACTATGTCGTCGATATTTTCAACAAATGGCCTTCCACGTCTTGATCCACGGTGTGTCAAAATTACCGGAACGAAATCGACCAAATCGAAATTGTGCGTGATCGACTGTTATAGTATCTGCCTGTCTTGCGTTTTTGTCTTTATTGTAGAATAAAGCGTATTTTGCCTTTGCTGTTATCCATCTGTGATATGAGCTCAAACCCTAGATACTGAACTAACACCATCTATCGTAGCGCAATCGCACTTATAGATCGCGAGGTAGAGACCACTAAAGTCTATTCAATCATTATTGTAGTACGCTATATATGGTAGCATACTTTAAGGCTTCTGCTCTTTCAATTACCTTAATAAATAACAAAAATAGGAAAGAAAAAAGAAGAGCCAAATTCCTTATACCTTTCATGACCATATTAAATATTAATTATCAAATCTTAACTATTGGTTGAAAGGGCCTATTTGATTAAGTTTTTCGATTTCGATGATTTTCAAAAACTGGGGACTACTGGGCGCAGAATCCGACGGACAACATGGCTAAATCAACTCAGCTTTTCGTTCTGATCTGATCTGATCTCCTTCGAGTAATTACATATTTCGGACCAAAGTTAATATACTATTTCACCTACTTGAATGGAAAAAAACGTTTCATACTTCCAATACGAGTTCATATACGAATATGAATACTATCAGATGGAGAATTTAAACTTTTTCTTTTTGTTTAATTACATATCAATTTATTTATTTTATCATTAAACATTTCAATATTCTTAATATTGGCAAAATTAAGTAAAATCGATAACTTAATCTCATTATCATAAACACTAGTAAATAACACACTTATCCGGCGGGTTCATTTCCATGCCAATCGCACAACCGAAATCACGTGAGAACTCGATGAAATTCCTCAACGCACCATTAACCATAAATCGTTCGATCGTATGCCCTTCGCGTGGACTGAGTGTGCGTGCTGTACCCTTAGTGCTGGACTTCCTCCCCACCGTGCCGGCTGCGCTACATTGCATCTGTGCAAAGGCAATAAAAAACAGTTGTGTATTGGTAAAGTTAAACTCGGGTAGAGTTTCCTTCGACAGCACCGCGAAATCCTCGGTGGGCTGTAGAAATGCCAGCCAATTTAGATAAGCATTGAAGGCGACATTAAGACCAGCGCTTTGCGCAACTATTTGACGTAGTAAAGTGACATTCGAAAATAATGTAGGATCATTATACAAGTAGTTGCTGATTTGTTGTCGAAAGCATTCACTACGATTTCGATATTCCCACGCAGTAGTCTCATCCCAATTAAGTGCACCCTGCGTCGTTGTTGTCCACGAGATGTCATCAAAAGCGCTGGCTAGCAAATGGGAGAGCTTCTGGCCGATTACAGCGTAGCGCATAGCGTTCGGATAATGTGTGTGATAGAGCGGCTCCTGTAGTAGACCCCAACCCATTTCGAAGCGTGTATGTTGTGGTCTGTAAAAAATGCCTGTTTCATACGATTCAACTTGATCGTAGAGATTAGGACGAGGCGGTGGAAAAATCCGTTGAAATTGTGCCTCTTGTCGGTCCTTCATGAGTACATCTAAATTATCCCAGTAATTTGTGCGATTGATGCTTATACTGGTAGGCTCCATTCTGGCATAAATGGGAAAGAGCAGACGCATCTCCGCCAATTTACTCTCAGCAATGCGGCGAGTGTAGTCTTTGATCCATGGTTTTTGTAAGCTCAAACGAAAGGATTCCTTCAATTTATCGAACATATTGAGCACATCATCTCTGGTCTCGACATGCACATAATTCCGTTTGTACATCTCGCCCAGTACCTTTGGGAAGTAACGTTTTGCCTTTTCTAAGCAGAACATTGCACGATTACCTGACTGATCATGGTTTGGAAAACTCAACGCTAACAATGCTTGATACATAATATAATTGGCGATAGTTGTTATATTGGTCGACGCTAACGTCTTGATGAGTTGTCTAAAGTAACCCGCGTCGGCCATAAAGACAGGCTTTTGTATCTGCGAACCATAGGTGGCGGCGATAAAATCTATTTTGTTCTCGAATTGGTGTGTGAAGTCTAAGAGTGTTTTGCGTATATCACTATTGTACTTATTGTTACCGAAGCTCAGTTGATTTGTGCCTTGCCTTTTAATACCAGTACAAAGTTGGTACTCAAATGCCACCAATTCAGCAGCTACCCTTTGTGCTTGCTCCATATCGAGCGTTAGCCATTGGTTTAGGTTTTCAGCCACTTCATTTTCAATCACTCTGAATACTTCTTCATTCAAATTGGTCCTATTTGTACTCTCTTCACTACACAGTTCCGGCGGTATGAATGTGTCTGGTTCGCCTAAATAAACGCTATCCTCAAATGGGTATAAATAGTTGACATCGATTTTGACACCAACCAAAATGTTTATACCGTACTGGAAGCGCAAAGTGCCCACAACATCCTGCCAATTGTAGTTGTGGCTTTGTATATACCAATCGGAGCCCGGCACTGCTGGAAAGCCGCCATGTTTTTCGATAAATATACTAAAATATTCCTGTTGAGCGACACTATTGCGTTCTGACGTTGTACAGGATATATAAAAGTCTTTCAGTTTACGTCCGTTCGAGCCGTCCTCCAATTTGGTTTGCTCCTGCAGCATATTACGCAAATCGTGATCTACTTTGGTGCGTAAATAGATTTCCATGTTCTCCATAATCGGCTGTTGGTGTCTTGTATGCACGTATGGTTGTTCCCAACTGCCGCAGGCAAATTCATAAAAGTCCCAGCACGGATTTGCATGTAAATTCATGCATCTCGGCATCTCATTGCGTTTGCGTAATGTTGTCGGATCACTACGTTCACTCTCTGCAAATGTAGTAGTGGTGGTAATCCAAAACTGAATTAATATACTCGTCCATAGTGTGCCTTTAAGCATACCGTTATTCACTTTACTTTACGATGTAAGCTTGTATACTAAATCTCGGAAAAGCGCTAAATATATGGAGACTGGTCGCTAAAGTTAGAAAAGACTGCGATGATTCGTTCCGTCTATAAAAAGCTGATAAGTCGAATCTGATGAATAAGTGTTGCATGCTCTGCGATTCTAATGCTATTGTAGGTTAGGGGTTATCAAGATTAAATGTGTGTAATTATGTACGTTTCGTGAGCATTAATCTAAATAAAATTTATGCATAAATTCAATGAATTCGCATAGAAGATTAACCGATTATTTATAAGCATTACAACAAATTTTGACTGAACAAATTTTACTAACATAAAAAAGGGGGAAAAAATAAAATTAAATTAAATCAGGTATAATAAAAAAAAAAAAAAATTAAATAAAAAAGTAAAATAAATATGATAATAAAATACAATATAATATAATATAATATAATATAATATAATATAATATAATATAATATAATATAATATAATATAAATAGTCGTAAATTAAGCATCNTTAGGCACTGTCCACACTCACTTTAAAGGCATTATCATCAATGTATTTCAACCAGCCTCAGCCGGTACAGCCACCTATCGGAAAACGGCGGAAGCAAAGTTGTACACCTGATAAGATAATGAATAAAATATAAAATAGAGAAAAAAAGTAAAATCAAAATAAATCTAAAATCCATTAAAAATAAAATACAGAATACAGAATGAAATGAAATTGAAAGAAAGGAAATAAAGTGTTTTATTAAAATTTTTCTAAGTAAAAACAAAACTTCATTCGGCGCTGAATAACTATAACTATACACTTTCCCGAAGGAAGTAAAATATATAAAGGATGTTCCATTTCGAGGTTCCCTACTTAAAAAAACATAAAATTCAAATTTATTGGTTCTTTACAGAACGGGAATTTTCGTAATAAATTTGTCTGTCAACGTTGCTCAGGCATAAAACTCCATGATGACATGCCAAAAAGTACTAAACAAAGATAAGATGACAGTTTGACACGATTCACTCGTGAACTGTCAAAAACCGGCTATTGCAAAAAGTATCTAATGCTAAAAGAAATGCTCCTGAAATGCCAGTTTAGCAAATCGAACCAAGGAATTTTGAGTTTGATTTGCTCTTAGAAATTGGAATCAGCGATTTCGAACCATCATTTATTTTTGGTTATGATTTACCTTCAGTAACTTCTCGCAAGGCTTTGCTAATAATTTATCTCTGCCTCTCTCTTCACGTTTTTCGGTATTACAAATTTATCTAGCTCTTAGTTGCTACATTTATACATAAATCTCTTTTTTTTTTATCAATTTATGTATCCATACACTAATTTTAATCTATAAAACATTTTCTCTCTATTTTCAGGCCATTCTTCAAACTAAATTTCTATAAGATTAAAACTCGTTGACGCTAACTAACAGCTAAAAGTTTTTCATATCGATTTTTAATGCATAAGCGCGCATTAAATTTATTTGTTTCAAGAGAAACTAAGCAACAACAATATTAAAGTGAACTATAATTATAGAGATTCATAGTATTGATTTGAGGCCCTAACACGATAAGCAGCGTATACGGACGTGTATGCCCGCAGTAAGCAGTAGAAAAAAACACCTTTCGTAAATTCAACTCACCACAACACTTGAGGTGTGTTGGTGAAGGGAGGAAAGGAAATCTTGAACACGGTAGGTGAAATTAAAATAAATATATAAGAAAAAGTATATATTGTATATATAAATATATATATATAGATTTATAAGATTACAATATATTTAATCGCCAATTAATATGTTTAATCACTTTCACTTTACAACACTTAAATACATCCATAATTTGTATGTACCAACAAATAAGAAATATATGCAAGTTTTTTTGCAACTTTCCTTGAATTTGTTTAGGCAGAATGTAGGTGAAGGTAAAGATAATGTAACGAAGAAAAAAATATATATAATATATATATGCCATAAAAAGTTTTAATTGCTGCTCAATTCCGAGACAGCAGTACCTTAACCCGACTTCCAACCGATAATGCATTCTTATGGGGAAAATACTTTTGCCAGAGAGTTGTTCAGAGGCCTTTTTGACCTAGTATAGATTTTACTGTTTTATTGCCATATTTTCCATTTTCATTGCATGTTACATCGTCATAATTACCCGAGTTTTGTCCTTGTATAGCAGGCGCAGGAGCGCAATAAGAGCAAAAATTTTTAAATAAAGAAATTATGCAAAAAACAAATGAATTTACTGATATAAAAGTCTGGTTTGGCGATTTGGTGAGAGCCTACACACATGGCTGTGGATTAAGATGGTGTGCTAAACGACGCTAGCAACTGTAAAATTATACAAATCTTAAGTAATTATCGATGATTTAGCGGTAATTTTTTAATTTGATGCTTACACACATGTATTGTTGGTGTTGTATGACATGAAATTATAAAATAAATAAATTAAAAAAAAATGGCAAAAAAATATCCCCATACAGTACAATACTACATTGTGAAGTCTTCAGTCGTACATGCATACATACAAACATATGTATGTACACATTTTACGTATGCTCACGTGCTTAGGCATCATTAAGAATGCCCGAATAAAAAGAACATACTAACATATTGTATGTATCCATACAGTATTGATCATTAAAATGAGAATAAGCTAGAAATGAATCCATTTTTTTTACTTATAGTAAAAAATGGATTTCCATAAATTAAATTAAATTGTGCAATTCATCATAAAAAATCGAGTATAAATTAAAAAATAATTATTAGCGATCATTGATTTTTTTAAACGGGTTAAGAAAGAATTTTCCGTGAAGTGGACCGGGGGGGGGGGGCGATCTATTCGAAAAAAATCCAATTTATTTTTAAATCATACGATTTACTGGAAATTTGGTACAGAGGTATCTTATTGCCCACATTACCGTTGAGAACACATTTTCTCCTGGAACGTACGTGCGCCTGTTATAGCTCTTTGTATATCTTTTCGAAAAAACCGCATAGTTCGGTTTACTTGATATTCGGAATATCAACAGATGTTTGCCTAGATTTATTTGTGCAAGTCAACTTGGTTCTGATGTATTAAAATGTTCATTCTTTTGGTTAGATTTACCCGATATTTATTGCTTAGATCAAAATGATGAGAAGTCATTTTTTCCATCCGCATCTGGGACCGATCTATTCAATTTTGGTTCGATTTGACCATACAAACATTCAGAGTAACTTAAGGAAAGTAAGCACAGGCAGTACGCATTGGGTCTAAGTATTTTATATTACAATTATATTACAACCTGGGCTTTATCTCCTGCTTTCACAATATGAATTTATCTATTTTTATTTGGATTGTTGGGACAAGACTGAGTTTTTAGAAAATAAAATTGAAAGCTTTTAGTAACTTCGCTGAAATAATACGAACATTTAAATTTTATATACAGATTCTTCAAATACAATTTTTGAGTAGCGAGTAACTTTAAAATGATGAAAATTTCCACAAAATAATGTAATATCGTGTAGAAATTTTGAAAACAAATTTTATTGAATGCAGTCTCATTTCGTAACGAGGTAGGTCCATTCTAAAGATGAGTCTATACATTTTTTCCACATATTTTATCAAAAACTGATATGAAATGAGATGTAAAGTGAACAAATTGAAATTTTGAACCTCTTTAATGTAGTTTATTGCACGCCACTGTATATCAATACAAGAGCTAATCGCATCTACAATACATAGTTGCTACCTTAAAAGATTATACAAAAATGTTATGAATACATATGCACGTACGTACATATTTTATAGGTATTTGCTGCCGTAGCGTAAACTTAACAACTTTGCATATAATTTTTCATGTTGTTTGATATCCATTTTTTTTTTTTGATTTTCATTTTCATTATTTACGTACAGTCATAATCACATAATATATATATACAAACATAGTTATGTACGTATGTACGAATGTTTGAGCGCATACAAATGCATTTTATGGTCATTAAAGCATTCAAGGGCAAGTATGAAATTAACTAAAATAACATATTTCCCTTCTTATTAAGATTGATTGAATATCATTGATGGTTGTTGCATAGTATAAGATTTTAGCAAAAAGCGAGGTTTTATTTATTTTATTCTAGCTTGCTTTTGTGAGCTTCAAATGAGTTTTCCACACCAAAAGTTAATATGAAGCAGAAATATTTTTCCAATATTATGCGCATTGCAGCAAAAATAATGATTTTTTCAAATAACACGTCTTGAGCGTCATCTAGAGGATAAAAAAAATAATAAATCCTTGCTGGGCAGAAATCCGTTCCCCAGGTTATTAGCCTTGACATTAAAAACAATTGTAATTTTTAATTTCAGTCAAAATTTTCTAACATTTAACTGACTACTTAAATTAGCAATATTTCTTCTGTATAAACAAATAAATTTATTTTTACATTTCAAGTTTGAACATATCATTAAACGAATTATAAAAAAAATACTTGGCCAATAGATAAAAATTCAAAGCTTCACATTATGCGACATTTTACCCTGCTGCTGACATTAATGCGCCCGGACTCAATCGTGTCTCTGCTGCTGGTATTGCTACAATGCGAGTATGCGCGTGATAACCCGTCTTATCGGCCGTAAACTCTGTAATCTCCATTATGATGAGCCCCTCGGAATTGGGTGGACCTAATTCTGTAGTGCGATTGCCTTTCACCACCAATTCCTCCTCGGGAGTGCCTACATTTTCCAGTGAGATAACCTCATAACGGCTACCGAAACCGGGTTGATTTAGGCTGTGGGTGTGAGAAATATAAGAAAAATATTTTTCCTCAATTTTCACTTTGTAGAGAATGAGAGAAAATCCTTTGAGTCACCTGAGTATATTCAATACTTTTGTATCTGCGTTGGTAGTAAACGGCTGCATGGCGGTATATGCGATTAAGACCAATATTATCAGACGCTGTTTGGGGTTTTGAGAAAAAGAAGAAAGATTTTAATTTAGAAACAGTTGTGTTTTGTTTTTTTTGGAATGTAATTATATGTCTAAACTCGTGTGCACTCACCGCGGCGGTTGACATTTTGTTTTATTTTACTTATTTTTCACAAATTCACACACTTCTACTCTACTATTTTATAATTATTTATTTATTTTCTACAAAAAATTTTCCTTAATTGCACTTTTATTTTTTCAACATCCCAAACGTCTTCACTCTAATATATGCTCTTCTAGAACATGTTTTCTTATAACGCGTTTTGCTGTTAGTGACTCGTTGCAGCGTTTGCAAGTTCTATTTCTATACTGACCATCAACATATGTCTCGCAAATTTTCGCTTACTAACATTGCATTGCATATTAGAATAAACAGTACTGCTAAACCAACAAAACCGAATCGCATGAATTTATCTATTTTTATTCTTCTTATTTTCATTAACAAATATTTATTAGCAAATTTATTTTACTTGAGTGAGTGTCTTAACGCTTCTATACAGCGTGCACAAAAAACTTGGTAATATGAAAACAACAATAGTAACCTTAAATAATTTGCACGCATGCATACATTTAAGAATATAAATAATTATGCATTCATTCTTTATTATGCTATGAGATGAGCGTTGTTGTTCCAGCATCCGGATGACAATGCGGGCTTTTGAAGTTTTGACTCAATTGCAGTTTAGACAACCACAACCCTGCAGTAAAACGCCGAAAAAGTTTTTCAAAATTCTAACTTGAGGCTAGTATTTAAATGATAAATACGTGGTATATAACATTTCGTTATTTTGCAAACATTTTACATAAGATTTGAGTTCATCCCAACTAGTCTTTGAGTTCCTTCAGTATTTAAATCTCGTTGTAGGCAAAGCCTTTTGTTAATCTCGTAAAATCAAAATCAGCAATCATAAATTATCTAGAATTAAACTATTTAAAATTGATGCATACTTGATTTGTATTTCGTATTTTTGTCATACATAGAAATTTCAGTCACTAACCTGAACTAATATCATATTGTACTAGTTCAGATAAATTGTCGTTTGTGCTGTGGATGCACACATTTTAATAATGCCATAATGTTAATGTCTTCAAAAATAGTAAAGTTGTTTAATGGTATAAACATAAACATTATTTTTCAATCACTCATCGATTCAACAAACTTAATTAAAAAATATAACAAAAAATATTAGTCACATAGCAGATTCTCACTATATACAGTTGCGAGAAAGGAAATAGAGACTTTACTAAGCCGCCTTAATTAAAATAAAAATAGAAAATAAAAATGAACAAATGAAATAAACTTAAATAAAAAAATGTAAATAAAATAAACTACAATAAAATAAGATTAACTTAAAAAATAAAATAAACTTAAATCAATTAAAATAAACTTCAATAAAAAAAAAATAAAATTAAATAAAAACTAAAATAAAATAGAATAAACTTAAATAAAATCAAATAAAAAAAAATATAAAGATAAATAAAAATGAAAAAAAAAACTAAAAAAGTGAAAAAATTAAAAAAAAAATGAAAAAACTCAGAAAATATATAAAAATTAAAAAATTAAATAAAAATTAAAAAATTAAATAAAAATTTAAAAATTAAATAAAAATTAAAAAATTAAAAAAAAAAATTAAAAAATTAAAAAAAAATTAAAAATTTTAAAAATTTAAAAAATAAAAAAAATGAAAAAATTAAAAAAAATTAAAAAATGAAAAAAATTAAAAAATGCAAAAAAAATTAAAAAAAAAAATGAAAAAAAAACTAAAAAAAATAAAAATAATGAAAATATTAAAAAATTAAAGAAAAATAAAAAAATGATAAAAATTAAAAAATTAAAGAAAAATAAAAAAATGATAAAAATTAAAAAATTAAAGAAAAATAAAAAAATGATAAAAATTAAAAAGAAAATAAAAAATTTAAAAATTTAAAAAATTAAAAAAAAGAATAAATTAAAAAAATGAAAGAATTAAAAAATGAAAGAATTAAAAAAATGAAAGAATTAAAAAAATGAAAAAATTAAAAAAATGAAAAAATTAAAAAAATTAAAAAATTAAAAAAAATTTAAAAAATTAAAAATTAAAAAAAATTAAAAAATTAAAAAAATTAAAAAATTAAAAAATTAAAAAAATGAAAAAATTAAAAAAATGAAAAAATTAAAAAAATGAAAAAATTAAAAAAATTAAAAAATGAAAAAAAAAATTAAAAAATTAAAAAAATGAAAAAAATAAAAAAAAAAAAATAAAAAAATAAAAATAATGAAAAAAATTAAAAAATTAAAGAAGTTGAAAAAATAGAAAAAACAAGAAAAAAAATTAAAAAAAAATTAAAAAAAATTAAAAAAAATTAAAAAAAAATTAAAAAAAATTAAAAAAATAAATAATAAATAAATAAATAAAAAATAAATAAAAAATAAATAAAAAATAAATAAAAAATAAATAAATAAAAAATAATTAAAAAGAAATAAAAAATAAAAAATAAAAAAATAATGAAAAATAATAAAATAATAAAAAATAATAAAATAATAAAAAATAATAAAATAATAAAATAATAAAAAATAAAAAATAATAAAATAATAAAAAATAAAAAATAATAAAAAATAATAAAATAATAAAAAAAAAATGAAAAAAATTAAACAATATTAAAAAATTAAATAAAACAAAAATAAATAAAATAACGTAACTAAAATGAATTAAAACAACGTAAAATTAAACAAAATAAATAATATAAAATTAATATAAAATAATGAAAAAGTAATAAAAATAAATTTAATATAATTTAAATTAAAATAAATTAATATTTAAAAAAATGAAATAAAAAATTAAAAAATAAAATAAAGCATTGTTAAATTAAATCAAATAAAATAACGCGGAATTAAAATAAAGAAAAATAATGTAAAATTGAAAAAAATAAAATAATGTAAAATTGAAGATAATGAAATATTGTAAAATTAAAAAAAAAATAGAATAATGTAAAAATAAAATAAATTAAGATAAGATAAAATTAAATTAAAATAAATATTGTAAAAATAAATAAAATAAAATAATGCAAAATAAAAATAAAATATAATAAAAAAATTAAATTAATTTAAATTCGCTTTATATACATTTGCGTATGTTTTTACAATTCGTTTTTGTTAAACTAACAATTAATAATGTCTGGTTTGAGCTCCAAACTTTTCAGAAGAAATATTCATTAAAATATGCGTGATTTTGTATATTTATCTAATAGTATTGACATTTTATGAAATGTTTGCAAGTACAGGTTAAACAGTTTCATGTATAGTATATTGAATCAGGTGCCATTTTAATACATATTGAAAAAAAAAAGATTTTATATTTAACGTATATAAACTTCTATACGCAAAACACAACAAAGTCTTCCTTAACTTTTAAACTATTCTACGAAATCGCGGATATCTGAAACTATTACTTAATATAACTATAATATTCTTCACAAACTTTACAAAAATATGCATACATGTAAAAATATTGGGTTTTCCACAATAACAAATTTTTAACTCTTGAAGACTTTTATTTTTCAGTAAATATTACAACTTTTTATGCACTTGAGCTTTATTTTGTACTACAGTAATGGTTAATTTGTTTTTGTAATAATTCATAGTTATGACAGTCATTTTGAGAAGTGTTTATTTGCATTAAAAATCAATGTAAGTTGACATTGAATAATTATTCGCTCGCACTTAAAGTGATCGTATATATAATGTTATAACGAAAAATCGTTTCTAAAGCTCAATCGCAATCTCTTAAGCCAGGATATACATAGGTAATACAATAGTTTTGAAAATACTATTGTTTGAAAATTAGATGTAATTTTTAGTTCATGGATGTCTCTTAACCTTCTATACGAATTAATATACATTGCCCGTACGTATATTTACATCTACCAAATTTGGTTGGTTTAGATGGAATGAAGTCATAGGCGTCGGAAACAGCAGGGACTATTCACATTTTTCAAATTGATACAAAATTTGTATTCTACTACTCACTCTCACACACTTTTACCCAAATGATTAGTTTAGAGTTTATTCTTCCTTCTCCTTATATTTAAATATTTTTTTATTCACATATATGGATGCGAACTAAATATTTCATGCGATAATAAAATATTTTTAAATAATATACATTTAAAATTGTTATAATATAATATTATTATTATAAATAAGTTTAATAAATTTATGTTGTTGTTTGCCAAAGTGCGTGTTTTACATCCGATGCGTACGATGCGTACGCGTAAATATTTTGGAGAGGGGATAATAACGTATTTTAATTTACATTTAATTTACATATATATTGTTTTTGCTTTTACAATAGAAATGAGTGGCAATATTGCGCTCTTTTACAGTAAATTATGAGGGCAGAATCAAATTTAATTATTTATCAAACTGTAAAATCGTTTAAAAACGGTGCAATTTTTTGTCATTAAATTATGAGTTTAATAATTTCGTATTCTAACTTCATAGAATTTTCTACGTTTTGCTTATAATTTTCTTGTACTTATTTGTTAGTGTTTTACTTTACCACTTCGTTTTGTTTTTTTTAATTTTCTTTTGTTTTTTTTAATTTTCTTTTTTTTTAATTTTCTTTTGTGTTTTTTTTTATTTTTTTATATTTTAATATTCTTAGACCTCAAATTTTTTTTTAGTTTATTTTTTTCGATTCTGTTTTTGATATTAATTTTTTTTTTACTTAAACTAAACATTTTTTTTTTAATTTTGAAACTCCACTTGTACTGCTACTTAAATTAAATTCATTAGTTGTTAGTTGTTTATGTGCTCGCATATTTTTTATATAAGACGAAAAGAAAATTATTTGTTTACTGACGTGTATCCCCTCTTCAAAATTCTGTATATTTTCAGACGAACAAATTTGCTATTGTAAGTCTGCGCGCCTAAATGTATGCAAACAAAATATAACAAAAATTAAAAGTCACACGCACAAACACAGAAACATCGGTCGCTAATATTCGTAGAAATACATATGTGGTAATCCTAGTTGTTATTGTTGATGGTGGTGGTGGTGTTGCTTATCTACATACATAAAAACTTGTTAGTGAATATTTATTGAACCGATCAAAAAAGAATATAAAAAGAAAGCCGCAAGAAGAACAAGAATTTCTCATACACGCTACTGCTGCTGCTACTGGAGTCTAGAGTGCCTCTAAGGAATCAACCGGCGTTTACAGACTCACACACGCAATGGGCGCCAATGTATCGCAACTGGAGCGTGAAATCGGCTCAGATCTCTTTCCGCCCAATGAGCACTACTTTGGTTTGGTAAATTTCGGTAATACGTGCTATAGCAATTCAGTATTGCAGGCGCTTTACTTTTGCAAACCTTTCCGAGAGAAAGTGCTGGAATATAAGGCAAAGAATAAGCGTCCCAAAGAGACGCTGCTATCCTGCTTAGCCGATCTCTTTTATAATATTGCCACACAAAAGAAAAAAGTCGGTTCGATTGCGCCTAAAAAGTTTATTGCACGGTTGCGTAAGGAGAAGGAAGAATTTGACAATTACATGCAACAGGATGCACATGAGTTTCTCAATTTTCTCATCAACCATATCAATGAGATCATATTGGCCGAACGTCACGCCAGCAAAAATGGTAACAATTTGAACGGTGGTAACGCCAGCGCCGGTAGCATCGGCGGCGTTGGTGTCGGCGGCACCTCCACTGCCAGCAAATCCTCTTCGTCCACCAGCACATCGACAACTGCCTCAAATTCAACGTCCAACGGCGCCTGTACCAATTCGTCGGGTTCACTGAACGGTGTTGGTGTCGGCATTGGTATTAGCGATAACGCCTCAACACCAACACAGTCGAATGCCGCTAATACGGAACCCACTTGGGTGCATGAAATCTTTCAAGGTATACTCACATCAGAGACACGTTGCCTAAACTGCGAGACTGTCAGTAGCAAAGATGAGAATTTCTTCGATCTACAGGTGGATGTGGACCAGAATACCTCGATTACACATTGTCTACGTTGCTTCAGTAACACCGAAACACTATGCTCGGATAATAAATTTAAATGTGACAATTGCTGTAGTTATCAGGAGGCACAGAAACGTATGCGAGTCAAAAAATTGCCTATGATATTGGCGCTTCATTTGAAACGTTTCAAATATATGGAACAATTCAATCGTCACATCAAGGTATCACATCGTGTTGTATTCCCACTGGAATTACGGCTTTTCAACACCTCTGACGATGCGGTCAATCCGGATCGTCTATACGACTTGACCGCTGTGGTTATACACTGCGGATCGGGTCCGAATCGTGGTCACTACATAAGTATTGTTAAAAGTCATGGCCTTTGGCTGTTGTTCGACGACGATATGGTGGATAAAATTGAGGCTTCAACCATTGAAGACTTCTATGGGCTCACATCGGATATACAAAAGTCATCGGAGACAGGTTATATACTGTTCTACCAGTCGCGGGATTGCGCATCGTCGTAGAGCATTAAGTAGAAAAATGCGGCAAAAGTTGAGGCTTAAGTGATGCGACAAAGAACACTAATAGCGCTAGAAAAATTAATGGACTAAAATATTTAATAAAAAATATATATTTAAAAAAAAAAAATATTGTTTCTTGGCAGTCATTAGTTTAACTAGTTTATAATAATACATAATTAAAATTATTTGCAAAATGTTATAGAGTCATGTGTAGGTATATGTATATAGGTATACTAAAGCATACATTTAGGAAGGATTTTTTAAAAATTTGAAAAGATTTTATTCAACTCTCGTATGCATTACAAGTAAAAATATACGACATGCTTTTAAAAAAGAATTTACAAAAATTCGAAACAAATACACTTTTTGTTTTGTTTCATGCATAGTTCATACAAAACTGTATTTATGCTATTTATGCGATAGCCTAAATGTAGGCAACAAAAATTATCATAAATGCTTTAAAAGCTCATATTAGAACTTAACCTTTATGATGAGTAAATGATTTTGTCCTAAACCTTACTGCACTAACAACGTATTGTAGAAAATATGAAAATAAAATCGTTAATATGTCCTAAATTCGTAAACAACTATAGAGCTATGCTTTCTGAATGTATTTAAATTTTGTTTTCGGCATTTGTCTATCTTTACGGGATCATTTTTGCCTTTTGATTTATGTAATAAATACACTTAATTAGTAGTTTTTTGCGTTATAAAAATTGTTGGTATCTAGTAAAATTTATTATTTTTTTTAGCATTTATACAATTAATAGGTTTCTGTGAAAAAAAATCATCTATATTGACATCTAATGTGCTCTAATACTTATAAAGTGGTTGTGTGCGATTAATCAATAATAAAAAATTTTTGAACAGTTAATCAATAGACAGCAATTTTTCCTTTTTTATGTATAATATACAAATTGGATTAAACAATATCTATTCTACGTTTACATAAAATCTTCGCTTAAGTAAAATTTAAAAAAAAAATATACAACATTGTATATAATTATTACTTATTTTTCAAGAGCGCAAAAAAAGTTTAAAATTTTATTGAAAAAAAAAATTATAATTTAATTTTTGTTAATCAAAAAAAAAAAAAAAAAATTATTAATTATCGATTAATCGCACATTCCATTTAATAACTGTCTAATAAAATTAAATTTCCGCTGCTGCAATCAATTATTGTATAATTTTGAAATAATTGTAATCGTTTTCGATTAATCATCATGTTTAGTTAGTTTTATTACAATTGCTATATCATTATGTTAAATAGTTATATGTACGCAAATATATGCAAATGTTTTCTTTAAATAAGTTAAATATACATAAATTTATATTTGCAAAAGAATTTTATTTATTATGCTTTTTTTTCAATGCGAAATAAACAAAAAAATAATTACTCTTACGTAAAATGAAACGGCATTTGCAACAACAAACATACTTAAAATGTTATATATCGATAATTATTATTATATTATAGAGACCTACTTGTATATTTAGAAAATAAAATCATTAAAAATCAAAAGAAAATTACTCTTCTCTTTTTAATTATACGCTAAATGAATGCCATTGAATTCACAGTTATGGTTGCAGATTAGCGTAGCTATGAGTATGTACATCGTATACTATATAAAATGTAAGTTTGTCGCCGATTGCAAAAGCATTACTGCTGCATTCGCAACGAATTTATTTGTTATTGTTATTGTTGCCGGTTTAAATGATTGCGACTATTTTTGAATAACATAAATTTGGTAACAATTGCAATTTTGTAAATTTGTATCCATATTCAAGTGTGTAAAAAATATAAATAAATATATATATATGAATTTCTTTCCTTACATCGTCGCTCTTTCCAATATCGACAATCATCCATACCATTATTTTTTTTTTATTGAGCTCTATTGAAAATGTCACTATACATACATACATATAATATGTACAATTGTATTGCATAAATATTATGGTTGATGCAATCGAAACTGTTAAATGGGCATACGGTTGTATTTTCTTCTTCTTGCACGGCTGACGTCTTTACATCCGAATCAACAATAGCACACTATTCGTACCGTCTGTTCGTTTCTTGTCCCCACTTGAAAATACCAAGTGAAACCAGATCGCTCTCTACCTGATCCTTTTAAAGGAAGGAAGGTCTTCCTTTTCCTCTGCTTCCACCAGCCCGGACTCCATCAAATACATTCGAAGATGGAATGACCTAGGACAGCTTGACTTAGTCAGCGGTATTGCTGTCCCTTCATTCGCTGAACTATGACAATACACAGCTCACTGTTCCAACTCTCATACCAGGCTTTTTGTGATTTCTCATTGGAGTATATTTTTCATGTGGTGGGTGCCCAGCCCTATGTACAATACAACTGCATAGGGATTCGCCTTTAGCTCGCTTGTTGCCTACCCGGAGTACACTCGTTCTAAGACCCGTCATCGGTAGTCATTTGAGCCATATTTAAATGAATCGTTTCTGCCCATTTACACTTGAATGAACTCCTAAACATGGCGCTATCATCCAATGGAGGCATCTACAGTTTATTCTGAGAAAGATTTCGCGTAGGCGTGGCGCCATGTGCGTTGAAAATATATCTATAGTATAAATCACTGGTCTAAAAAAAGACACGAATATAATATTGGATCGATCGGGCAACAACTACGCGTTGAATCCAGTTTAAAATTGGTGAAGAAAACTTGGCCGTACTTAATAAATATGGCCGTGTTCCAAAGAGTTGCCAAAAATACTAGCATAGGTCCACAAACAAGCCTGTTACCTTTCATATAACAGGCAAATCAGATAAGACGGCCGCCGTTTCTTATAAATATCAGCCGAGTATATAATTTTCAGTTCCACCCAAAACATAGCCTTTCTTATTTGCTTAATTTTAGTTTAATTCATAATAATATTTAGAAAATGAATAAAATTTTTTTCTGACTATTACGAACAAAAAAACTTCGCCAAATTGTCATTTTTACAAAAAGAGAAATTTTTTATCCTTTAATTTATATTTTTCCACGCTGCAGCTCTGATATTTGATAGTTATAATTTTAAGCTCATTTAGCGATTCGGTTTTTATCTGCTCAGTATTCGCTAAACTGACTCTCCCTCTTTCATGGGTTTTCTTCAATCTGGGTAGGACTAAGAAAAGGTAGCAAAGGGTTTTGTTTTTGGCTATACGACTAATTTCAAACAAGCAATAGCGAGTGCGCGGCCACAATTTTGGTCGTTTTCTCTATTCAATTCTCCGTATTTACTCCACTCGCAACGTTGCGATGTTAGCAGCCTGTTTTTTCTACACTGCGGCACGGCAATCCGCATTGTAAGCAGAAATTCAATATGGATAAATAAACTAGTATTTAACTAGTATGAAGCTGATGTATAATCGGAAAATAGACATTAGTTCCTAACATAGACAAATGGCGGAAGATGAACTAGTTAGAGTGAATACGCAAAACTGATATACCCTGCTTTATATATATACATACATACTGTTTTCTAGCAATATTTTCACTTTTTGAGATATTGAAATGAAAAAATGTATGATAAATATAGATTTGGTCGCATTTAACAAGTGTAACATAGTGTATGCATAACTGGCTTGGAATTAATTTTAAATTTCTTCTAATTAGTTTAAAACATTAATTTTATATTTTTTCACAACTTTAATAAAACTTATTGACTTTTTCATTGTGGACTAAATTTCGCTTTAAAAAATGTATAACCTTCAAAGAAAGACTTACATGACATACGTAAATATGACAGATCTATGTACATACATGTGTAAATTTGAACCTGTGTGTCCATCCTTTACTCGGTTCCATAATGAATATTTTGCATACTCGCCTTTGCCTTGTCCATTTGTCCTTTGAAGAAGGCTGATACTTGCACAAATCTGACGTGACAATGACAGTTATTTTATGCAACTCAAAGTACACACACAAGCACAAACATTATTTATAAGATTTCTTATTTCCTTATATAAAGTGTATATACCTACATATACGTGTATACTGAGCATTTTCTTCATTTAACCACCGCTTTTTTGCTTTCGCTTGCGTATAGATATTGTACAAAATGACAAGTGCCCTTTGGCATAATCTTAACGGTGATTTATGAAAGCCAAAGTCACTTGAGAATTTTATAATTTTTTTTCTGTTTTTTTTTCGAGTAATAAAAACAAAAGATTATTAAGTTAGGTTTATGGGCGCCACTTTTCAGTGTAAAAATAATATTACTATTAAATTCACTTGAGCCACAACAACAACACCGATTCCTTGTTGTTGAAAAGAAAAGAATTGCATTCAAACACCTTCCCCCGACGCGTAAGTTCGCGCTGACACAATCGATCGATCGCCGTCTATCGCCTACTTAAGTGAAAGTGTCACCATCATCAAATGAGTGCTACTTTTCTACTACTTCTGCCGTTTCCTTCTTTTCATTTCTTCTCATGAAATGTGTGTAACTAATAATATTAATATGCTTATGATGCATATATACGGAAAAGTTAACACCCAACCAATCTGTCTGGATGCCGTTTTAGTGTTTAAGACTTCCCTAGCCCCACTCTTACCGTCTTTTAAACGGTGTAGCCTGCCGCCTTAGCGTGTTTGATTGTCGTTTATGCGTACACACTTAAAACTCCCAAGCTAAAATTGGAGCATGTCTAACGGTGCTCCACTGCGCGTTTACTATGCCGCTGCGTCGCGTACACCCTGCTGCGTGGTACGCATGCGTCTACGCATCCACGCGTCGCCAAAACTAATAAATAACAGCAATTTGCCGAAATTGCAAGAAAAATAACATGTTTAACCTGTGTAATTGCTTGTTCATGTACTGTTATATCTCTTGGTTGACTTTTCATTTTAATTTTTCTATATTATTTGGTTTTTAGGCTTTTCTTGTCCGTTTGCTTTTTTCAAATATACATATGTATGTGTTCGTATATACATACATACATTCATATCTGACGCCCATTTTGCTATCTTGACGGTAATACGCTTAAGCCAAACACGTACTTAACATGGAGTGAAAAGCGTTTGCCGTTGTTTATATATTGCTTTGAAAAATTTTCCTGTATTTCTCTGATGGAGCTGGTCGTACTTTTTTTATTTAATATTGAAGATTTCTTTAAGTTGATTGTTTATTATATAAGGTCAAGTAAAAAGTTCGTTCGGTTTTTATCTAAGAGATGGCGTTATAGTCCCTAGTACTAGTTTCACGTATCGCATCATG